GGATGGAAAATAAAGTTCACATAACAGAAAGTAGACGAGGAACGGTGGGGGACCTGCTAATAAGCCGAATCCCTCATAGTTACGTCATGAAGCGGCACAAGATCGGCAAAACGCGCGTGCCTGAGCTTGTAACTAGTATTTTTACAATAAGTATTGTAAATAATAACCTACTCATGTAGGAAATATAATCAGACCAAACATTCTACAAAAGCCTACGGCATCCTTCTTTGAAACTACCGTATCAACCACGGAAACTCAGAACCCGCATAACCTTTCCCTCGCAGGAAGCAAAATAAAAAAGCCTAAATAAAGCGGTTAAGGAAGGATTTACATACTTTTAAAATTTCCACGGATGCCAAAGCCGAAGCCAGATGCAAAACAGTATTTTTTTCGCGGTCAACAATGCCTAGACGGAAGTCCTTCACCGCCATAATAGCTTTGACTGTTTCCACATTGCCTGCCTTGACAGCAACAAAAATTGGTGTCCATCCAGTCTCTGGATCGACCTTGTTTATTAGGCTAAAAAAAGTACAAAAAAGCAGAAAAGGTCAAGATATAATGGTCTAGGGAAATGGCGCGACAATAAACCAACGTGAACACTGCGTGCTACTCAACCTTGCCACTTAGATTAAGAAAAAAACTGCAAAATTCAGACCTAGGTCGAATTACCTAGAGGCCAGGAGTTCACACCTGGTAGAAGCCGACATTCACTTAACCCCTGATTCCACAGTCCATGTCTAAAATACTTTCTAGGTAATCGAACGCAACTTCAGTGAGGGTATTGCGTCGTAGCGCAATTCGAGTAACTTTTATTGGCTGTTAGCGAAAGATGTGGCAGAATACCGTCAGATATGAACCCCTCGACCAACCAGAGAAATTTGAACTCATTGAGAAGACAGAAGATTAAGACTCCGGTAAAATATAAATTCGGTGGATTATCAGACTAATTAAATTGTATAGTGCCAAAATGCAGCAAATTCGTCGTTTTCAGACAGCGAGGAAAACAGAACTACTTCTGTGTGACTGAGTCAGGTCGAAGGTGCTGTGACCTGAGGGTTGGCGTCAGTTCTCTGCACTGTGCCTGCGCGTTCGGTCATTCGTGTCCAGAACAGAATTCCAATTCATCTGACATAGTTGCTTTGCTTGCAACTGCACCAAATGATGAAACGGAGCCGCTAATTGTCATAGGTATGCGGTAGCATAGCGACTGCATCGTACAAATACTACAAATCCTTGTGCATGAAGTACGCGTATCTGACACCGTCTTTGGTGGTGATTTCGATTATAAACCGAAACGTCAGATGAAAAAAAGTGATTGCGTCTATTTCTGCTATCTGTAACAACTACGTACGATTGTATCTGAGAGCGAATAAAATCTTCAGTGACATGGATACTTATACTCCTCTCGCCAAAGAACCGACGAAAAACCAAGCCGCAGCCACCAAAAGGGTTAATGAGCTCGCTTATATGAAAGTCATAAGTTCAAATGGCTCCAAATTGATGATCCTCAGTGATCCCCGTATCGCACACGAGTATGGTCCCCCGAAAGTGCAAAAGACGAATACCCCGATGAGGATTATAGTACCACTCAATGGAAAACCTAATTACTATATTAGTTAAGTCGTTGTGCATATGTCTGAAGTACCTGACGCGTGGATCTGCTAGGCGTAGCCTTAACGTGAATAAATACTGTTATCCAAGACAGAATGCTAACTTCAGAAGGTGTGAGATTCCTTGCCAAGGATTAATAATTCTCCTGGACATGCTTCTTTCGTCAGTAGAGTGGAGAAGAGATTGGCGTTTCTCTCGGATATCGGATTTAGTATTCGCATAACCTACAAACCAGAATCCTCGCTAGGCCCAACACTACCTCGAATAAAGTACCACGTCCCCAAATGGCAACAAACCAACGTAGTTTATCCCATTCCGAGCGCTAGTTGCCCTTCTGTGTATATTAGTCATACCGGTCAACGCCTGGACACCCATGGTAGTAACACAAACTTACTGTATGTCACTAGAACTCCCTGCCGCCCGTCTTTGCGCGCCCTTTCCAGTGCAGTTGGGAGGGCCATAAGGCCGTAGCCATGATTAAGGCAAAACGAACGAGATAATTCCTTGAGGTTTGGTACCCCGATACGGGCATTATCAACCATCATGTGGACCTCGACGTCCATTACGAGCACTGGGACAAGGGTACGTATCCTGTTAGTCGTGATGGGAGCTCCACAAAAACGGGACACGCGTCTGCTGGCCTGCAATCAGACTGGATAAATGAACCTTACTACGGCATAACAGTGAATAATCCAACCCTTAGTGACTGCATCGTAGCAAAACTGTTCAAGTAGTACCAACAGTCTCTCTTGTCTTTGTTGGTAATGTTCCTCTTCCTATAATACTAGCCGTTGTGCTGCTGCTGGCGGGGCTCGATAGTATCCTCAAGACAGAGCGAGACGAGTGAGTCCCGTAACCCAT